ACTTGTCCCTTTGACGAGTTTGTAATATGGTGCTACGAATGGCGAGACTCACTAACGATTCCGACTACGATGCCGGCGAAGCGTCTGGGAATGTACCACGTCCATGGTCATACTCTGAAAGTGATGATGCATACAATGGACTCCGGACTAGGTGCGTTCCTTTAAGTCTTCCTACCAGTATGACAGAGTTGCAAAACAAGGTCAACAACTTCCATATGAATTGAGGTTGAGAAAAAGAGATGCAGCACTAGAAACTATGACAAAAAATAGGGGCGATTGAACAGAAAATTGATCAAGGGGTTTACCTTCACTTGTCACCTTGACAACTTGTAACTCTGTGCTAAGGCACATCTCAATGACGATGTACTAAGTCAATGGCCCGATGCTGGACATTGCGAATACTATGGCAGAGAATGCACGACTAAATACGATATACAAGGCGTCTCTGACGTTGCGAAAACGAGGTCAAACCAACAAAATAGAAAAACAGGATTAAAGGATAGATGGAATATTTTAAGCAGTTCATATACAAATAATTCAAGGTTTTATGAAAGACCGTATATATGAGGAACAAGATGGTGCTGGTCTTAGGTCTGTTTTGTTCGTCTACTTTAACTGTATAGAGTTTATTTGACCTCGTTTTTGCAAAAGAGTAACAGGGAGATAGATCCCCAATCCTGCGTCTTCTCTCATAGTAATCATGATAATTTCCAACAGTGAAGCACTCACCTAAACTATTCTCAGACTCTACGTCTGTATCGTAGTCGGGATAATCAATGAGAGAAGCAATCCTTGTCACTAAAGAGTTATAACTCGGTGTTAAGAATATCGCTTCTCAATGATGATTCCGACGATGCCGGCAAAGCGCCTAGGAATGCATTAAATTCAAGGTCCGATGCAGAAAATTATCATAACTACTATGGCAGAGGAGGCAGGACTGGGTGCTTCCTACAGGATCTGCCTATAACTCCAACCAAGTATTTAAAACGAGATCAGAACAAATTTATGACAGATAGTTACTGGTAAATAATATGAGATATAATAAAGAGGTTATTTAAAAATAAAAGAATACTGCGCTACGGCTATAAAAAGTATATTTGATGCAGTTTCTGAAAAATTATAAATACTGCTATAGTAATAAATATCAAGCGAAACTAGCTAAAAATTTTCGACTCAAAAATTGAAATCAAAAGAAACAGCTAAGATAATGAGATAATGAGATTTCCAAACGGTAGTTTACTTGGCACAACAATCAATATGTCACTATATTGCGATCATAATACAACAAAGTCAGCCTCTCAAACTTTTCCTTAAACTGCGGCCATAGAGAAGTCAATTGATGTGTCGTCAGTATGCATATGCAAGAATACGTTTCTTGTCCAACCACTTATTTACAAATTCGCCTTCAGAGCGTGCTCTACGTCCATATCATCCCACAGCCGGAAAGGCTCATTCTACATACCTGTGGCCCGAGTTGACGGAGCTCATCGAAGCAAGCATGAGCCAGGCCAGCCCTGGGGGACATTCGGAGCGTAGGATTGTAAACAAGCATCTGGCACATAAGATTGAGCAAATCGGCGGGTGTGTGGCGAGGGAAGAACAGTTTAACGGGGCAGGCCTGCACGTCAGGGAAGTTGTAGGACTCATACATAGGATTCATGCTTGCGATATCCTCGGCACTCGGAGTGCCTAGCACTCGGATTACCTTGACTAACTGATCGACAGAGTCGCTGCCCATGAATAACGACTGCTGACGTAGCATCTCAGCCAGCACACAGCCGGCACTCCACGTGTCGATGGCGCAAGTGTATAGCTGTGCACCGAACAAGAGTTCGGGGGCACGATAATATCTAAAAAGGATACATTTAGATAATTTTGGTAAATTAACTCGAAGATAGTAAATGAGGGAAAACAAATAGAGGATAGGAAAGGTGTCATTAGGAAATTAGAAACAGTCGAGGCAACCAGGTTTCATCATTGTGCACCGCTGTTTAATGTAGTTTGCCTCATGGTGCATACATACAAATTTCCAAGGCTCGTCTCATCTACGTCTTGGACGCGTCGTTTAGTCTGAATCTAGAGTACCACCCGTGCTCCGCAGAAGCAGTGAGTTTGCCAAAAGGCCGACTATAAGGCAACAACACCTATCCGCGTCAGGCCTTCTCGGCGTCCTTGTCATTGGCGTCCGCAACGTTGGCTACACCACCCCAGCATGTTAAACTGGTTGCCCTGTTCCAGTTAATTCCCCCATTATCGTTTTTCACATCAACCTCCCGAACATATACACACGCAATCTTTATCATGACCAACTGGCGTTATACATATTTTGATCTATTAACACTTTAACACCACATTCTCTAGTCTTTCATCTTAAAAATCAAGACGAGTTCTAAAGCAGCTCCATAAAGATTAAAAGATAATAATTACATTACCTGTTCCTGATGTAAAAATTGTAACGCAAATTTGACACTGAACTAATTTATCATGAATCAAATACTATGTAAAGGCAGATAATTTGCTTAGATAATTGTCAAAGAACTTTTGTGAAGAGACGTTGCCTCAAGTAATCTCTTTGTCAGCCACAGATTCATCGCAAATCAAGTAAGAATAGGCATAAACAAGATGATGATGCTGCTTTTGGCTTATTGATCAATCATGAAAGCTACGAAACAGCTTAATAATTTCAGTGGAGTAGTTACCTAAGAGTTAAAAGTTCGCATTGGGTATGATCATCGGTTTAAAAAAACGCAAGAGGTTATATAACGTTTCCGTGATGAAGCGAACAGAGGACTCTACAGGCTGCCCAACAAAGGAAAAATACCACCAGAAATAAGATCTTCTCGGCAAAATAAAATTGAGAAATAACAAAATAACATCAAGTAAAGTGTTTGCGACAAAGTATTAGCTAATACAAGACGCACCAGATCTTGCTGAAACGAAGAGTAATTGGGTTTTGATTAATCTCCAAAAATAACATTAGTAAGTTGATCTCACTAGAAGACGACAGCTGATTTCCGTTGTATTGCAGCTATCCGGCTTTAATACGACGTTCAGAGTGATGCAGTTCACAACACATCCTCCGTAGTTTCGGGTGAAAAAGTATTCGGCTTTCGTCCATCATATAATGGACATCATCAGAGCTGGAACTCATTATTGTAAAATTTTCACGATAACACTAGGTCAGCTACGTCAACCTGAAGGTCGTATTAAAGCCAAAAGGCTGCAGTACAAC